AGGATGTAGGAGGGGTAGTAAAAGACGAAAGTAGAAGACACAAAATTCATATGAAAGGTTAATAGATTAGGAATCACATTGTTGTAACGACCGAATTACTTGACGTCTTATATAATGAAACCTATCCACTTGTAAAAAGGGCTTCGTAAACTTTTCCCTGCGGATTCTCATTTAAGCAAATCATCTTACGCCAGTAGAGAAGATTACAGAAAGGTTGGGCGTGTTTAGAGAGACTATTTGGGAACAAGAAAATGGAAGTAACAATAGCATGGAAAAAGCAAGCACCTCTGAAAAGTCGGAAAATTTATTCCTGGCCACACGGCGCTATAACACAGAAGACAGCCATCTTCATACGTAATAATTTGTGTAGTAACCAAAATAATATTATTAGGTTGATCAAATCAAGGCAGATGATTCAGGTGACATGCGTTGGAAAGATTGCTTACTCTTTTGTCTACGGGAAGAAACCACTAGGGAGGCTAATACCGAAGTAGATCTTAAAGGAATTTTGAGTTCGATTGTGGACTGATTTAAACGGAATTAGTTGTTAAATGGCGGCACTTCTGTGTCAACCGTCAGGTACAGTAGAAATCAGTGGAATATCTTGATCTGAACCATGATCAGGTTTTGAAAAAGGGCGCAATCATAGACTTAATTATGTGCTTTTGGACAAAGGGCCGGAGTTTCTCTGAAGCGAAATAAGTGAGCGCTGTAAAGTCTGTGTAAGAACTCGTATTTGGGTGACTTGATGTCGCGTGAAGTCCCACGTGCCGAATAACGGGATTCTGTCCTTACCCGCAGACAATGCTGACTCCGTGGGACGCCCCCTCGAGTAATAATAACACAGCATTAATATTATTGAAGTGTTTCGGTTTCGTCAGTTTTATGTGAAACTACGCTGCATGGCCATGAAGATAGCAGCACAGTAAACATGTTCATTGTGTTATTTGACCGTGTCATGTTCTGTAAGGAGGTCAAGAGGATAATGAACTGTTTATGTTTAATTTGTGCAGGCAGAAGTAATTAGGAATAAGTAAGTTTTTGTGGAGTTCTGGTTTCCTGAGAAAAACCACGTATGGATTTGACAAAATGTAACCTCTTCGCTTTCGTCTCATTCTACACCGTATCTTATTTCTCTTTGTCATTTGTTTTCCTCTCCCTCTTCTCGATTCTTCCTCTCTTACTCCAAATGATTCAGCTCCTCCTTCCCATTTACTTCCTTCCCTTTTCTATCATCTTGTATTTCTTCCCCCCCCACTCTTGTTTTTCGTGTCTTACTTTATCTTCTGCTTCTACTCCTTTTTCTTCTCCTTCTTCTTCTCGACTTTGTTCCCTTCTTATTATACAGAGTGATTCAAACGCCTACGTACGCATTGCTTTGTGGTAGGTGGTTACACCGCAGGCGTGAACTGGCCTGTGTGTAAAGTAAAGTTTGTCCCACTATACGCCATGTAGGCGCTTGGGGTGAGAGGAGGTATAGCTCCTCTCTTCCTTGACCTCGGCACTAGATGGGGGTGAGTGGTCAGCATCACGCCCCGGCCGGCTTTACCCCCGGGAAAGGACCCCGGTACCCATTGGATAGGAGGCTGGGTGGGCCCCAGAGCCGGTCTGGACGCAGAGGCTAGAGGAAAAATCCTCTGCCCCCGTCGGGGATCGAACCCCGATCGTCCAGCCCGTAGCTAGTCACTATACTGACTGAGCTATCCCGGCTCATGGCCTGTGTGTAGGCTTTGTATGTAAGTGTTGAGCCTAGCAACTTCGCTTTCTGCAACGTATGCCTCATTCCGGCTATCGAATGTTAATGTGTTCACACGGAGAACGTTCTGTACGGTGGCCCTTTTAGGATTACATCGACCGCTGCAAATAGTGAAATACAAAGAATGTGGAAGGAAGTGGTTGTGGTTTATTACCCATACATTTGCATGGGAGGACTAAGTTTGAATTGTGCCTGTGCTTAAATTCTGTCCTACACTGGCATCTGAAAAGGATAGGTGCAACAGTTTCACATTCATAATGTCTTAATCTAGGCAGGACACTACCCCTCTGACACGCGTGCTTCCTCCAGACTAATGCTGGGATGACACCATAAGTTTTATTACGACTACTTCCTTTCACATAATTTCTAATTTATTAATCATGCAGCCATTTTACTCTGTTTCGACTGGGTTACTGACTTAGTCGTTAAGTGAAGCATAAATAAAAATAATTCAGTTTTCTCCCTTAAATTTTGGCCACATAAACATAGCTCCTGCTGTCTTTTGTTTTCTGTAAACAGGCTACAAGTCATAATCACGAAGTTGACACACATAGTAGAATTCGCTGACAAGCTAATTAATCGAAGGAGAATTTTATAAAGGCTTTGCTTCGTCGTGCTGCATGGCCTTTTTTAATTTGCGGCGTTCATTACAGATTTGTTTTTACTTTCAATTAGTATAGTTTTATGCCCTCTTTGAAGCGTTTCTTTAAGTAAATTCTCATTTTGCAGCTATATTATTTTCTTCGTTCTACACAGTTTAGAGTTTAGAGCAAACATTATACGGAAGTATTAAAAAAGGATGGATTGAGCTGGACAAGTTTCTGTACTACTCGTTTGTCACATTTCGGTCGGTTTGTACACTTATTTTTTTGACGTAAATACGTCTGTATTTTAGGGTCAGTGTCATTCCGCAAAAAAGAGTGACGAAAAAGTGAAAGGAAAATATGTAAGATGGTTACCTAGGAAACGTCATCTGTTTATCAACAAATCGACAATAATGGTTAGCTAAAAAACATCTATTTACTCGGCATTTCTGTTACCTAGGATACGTCATCTTACTCGGCAATGTTGTTACCTATAAAACATTTCATTACATTACCTTACCTTACCTTACCTTACTTTACATTACATTAAGCTACCACAGACCATCTTAAGCGTAACTAATTCAAGTTAAATAAGCAATGTCTCAATCAAACATATCTCAATTGTAAAGCATGTATAAAGGAAATATTTAGAATAAAGCCAATATATAAACTTCCTTTCCGTATAGACGTATTTACGTCAAATTCTCCGGAACCGTGGTTCCACTGACAACTTTTTTTTTAGGAAAACGTTCTTGCAGAAATAGTTTTTGTTTACTTAGATCTTCACTTGAGAACTTTATCTTTTATCCTGGGAGTTTATAGTGGCAAGCTTTGTATGGAAAATTTCGAATATATTATCTAAATTTATTTTGTCTTATCTCGTCCGTTCTTCGGTGACAGATTAGAATTCTTTTTCTTGTAATTTTCAGGATGGCTGTACTGTAGTAGGTAGTTCCAGTACAAAAGGCTCTGCTTTGCGGCAGACAGTCTTTTCAGCTTTCATGCCGGCTGAATCTAATGACACAGAAAAGCACCCTTTAAAATAATATCTAGACAAATAATTACTACCATTCGTAATACGTAGTTCATAATTCATACGTATAAGATATGTGAATAGGTGTGAAAAAGCTGATAATATTAATTCGTAATTTCAGCTGGGCTTTGTCGTTGGAGTTTTATTGATGTTATCATTTTCGTTATTTAGTAGTCAGCTTACAAAATTTACAATCCAGTCCAGAACATTGTTTGACTTTGAATATATTCCATGGCGAAAATGCCACACAAAGAAACTCGATCACTGAAGAAGTTGGTGTCAAAGTACATCTTGTAATCCATGCAACATCCAGTGTGGGCCTTCGGCAGCTGTGCTAGCGGCAAAGCATTTTGCAATGTTAGAGATCATTGCGTCGTTTGCCGCATTTCCTGGTCGTAACAGCACAACAGCAGCAATGTTTGATATTACGGGCATTTTGTTCCGGTTGTTGAGGTAGTTTAGGAGTTCCCTAGTAATAAAGTCACGACTTTCCTTTCGACGACTTTTGTACTTGCGTTCACGTTCAGGTCTGAGTCTTCCTGCCCAAATGAATATCTTCGCTAGAATATTTGGAACTAAATCAGATAACATTCCCTAGAATCCACTTCCGAGAACACTGCGGCAAAATCATAGTGCAAAGAGGCAGAGGCATCTGGATCCACTTCAAAGAAGAATCTGACGACATTTCGACGCAAGGGAATTAGACTAACCGAATTCCAGGAGGACGGGAGGCTTGACTTTGGAAAATGAATGGGTGACTTTATTTCACTTCCTTGTATTACTAGCTGAGTTATTTCCATTTGTGGTAATAAGCCTCTCGTGATAACGTGAAAAATAACAGACTGCTTCAAACTTCACTTTAAAGGGTTTTGACGATGGCGTGATACACTCGGGATACTAAATTCTTGGACTTTGTCCGTGATCTTGTATTCTAAAGAACACAGCGTTTCAGAAATTGGATCTCTTTCCGTCTTCAGGTGAAAAAGGGAAGGGCGCCTGCCCACCTGGGTCCGTTATAAAGAGCCTCCAGACGATGGACAAAGTCCAAGAATTTGGTAATCCTGAGTGCTTAGGACTTGTTAATTGCAATACAGATGTATCACTGAAAAGTCACAAAATATTTGTTCAGTAAATATTTATAATACCATAACAAGTTCAAGTGAATGTTGTGTGCCTTGTTGATATCTAGACTGTATTTCGTCCAACGAAGGCTTGCCATGTTTTGTGAAATAAGCACTTTTAGAACAAGATGAGAAATGCATACATAGCCCAGATATTCTGGTGATTTCGCTGTCTTGTTGCATCTAGATTTTCAATACGTGAATATAAAGATTTGATGGTATTTTATAATTAGCGTAACACATGTATTTTTTAAAGTTTTACACAGGAAATACGATGGTTGTAAATGTATTTCCACTTGTAAGATTTGAGGTTTTCACAGCGGTGAGTATGAAGATTTCTGTCTTCTGGGTTGTTGCGCCGTGTAGTCTGATATATGTCCACCAACATTTCAGAGGTCCATCCTGCCTCCATCATCAGGCTATTCATCGCCCTAATGACGGAGGCAGTATGACCTCTGAAACGTTGGTAAATATCTACCATACTACACGGCTCAACAACCCAGAAGACAGAAATCTTCGTATTTCCACTTTTTACACAATAGAGAAATAATGCCATTTTATTACCGATATAGACTTTGTTCTTTCCTACAAATGTTTCATATTTTAGTTACGAGTCTAGAAATCGCTTGACGAACAGTTACCAGTCGAAAGACAACACCTCGGTTTTACGCGAAGCAAATCGGAATTAATATCTTTGCCGAAGTAATTTATTTTCTCTCGTCTCTCTCGGACTTCTGGGTTGTGACGTCGGTTGCATTTCGCAGGAGCATTTACCTCAGTTTTTAATTGATTGCGCGTATCTTTGCCTGAAATGTAATAAAATAAAATATCTGAAAAGTTAGATTAACGTTTTAACAATTTTAATTTTTCGATCTTAGCTGTATGACCTACGAAACCGTAATTAGGTTATTCTAGTGCACCGTTCTTTACAAAATGTGATTCAATAAATTTATGAAAGGGCCTCCAACAGAGTAAAGCTATCCCGTTAACACGCTTGAGGGGAGAAGCATAGCTCCTATTTGTTCTTAACTTCGGTACTAGATAGGATGAGTCTTCAACGTTACGCCGCGGCCGCTTTTCCCCCTGTACCCATTGGATAAAACGCTGGGTGGGCCCAAGAGCCGGTCTGGATGTAGAGACTAGAAGAAAAAGCTTTGCCCTTCCGGCGATCAAACCCGGTCATCTCCATTCCATCGTCAGACACTACTGCTTCAAGACCTTCGTTAGACAATAGAATTTGATCAACATCAGTCCTTCAGTTCTCGAGTTATGACAAAGCATAAACATTTTTTCCTTGAAAACCGTAAGGCTTGCGGAAAAAAGCGAATGGGACATAAACTTGTATTTGTTTCTCTAAAACTTTGGTTTCAAACTTTCTCGCGCCAATGAATATTTAGCAAGTTACGCTCGAGATGCCCGCAAAGTATCTGTTACTGTAGTCTGTGTTTAACTAAAAGTGGCATGTTTTGAAAAATCTCAGGAAAACTTCCTAATGAAAATTTTTATGAAAATCGGTTGAGCGATTCTCGAGTTACTAAATGCGGTTGGAAAGTTGCGAAGCGAATGGGAGGAGGAACAAAATTATTAAAGAGATTGCGTAATGAAGAGCTTTTAGAAAAATCATGTGTGATAAATTATGACACAATTTCTCTTTATTGACGCTCTGGTCACCGAGTTGGTCTTCTGTCAGGGCTGTGAACTCCGTGATGTGTCTAACCTCGGATTTGATGGCCGGATTAAAGTCCGAAGACAGTCAATGAGCGATTCCTCATGGATAAAATGACACTGTGGTTCTTTTTCTCCGCTTACTTAGGTTGTCTTTCTGATCATCGTTGCATTAATATTGCATAATCATCATGTTTATCACCTTGAACTTCGAAAAAGTCCACGCCAATTGTTATTATTTTGCTCGTCACATTTCCAGTCTCAGTAAGTAGGAAGTTTCCCCCGTTATGGGAGCTGACGGCTGTTGTACTGTTTTTATAAAAGGCAACAGAGATATTCTTAAAATTATTCACTGTCAGGACTTTTTTCATAGTATTTTGTTTTAACCCCACGACGTTTCGGAGGCTGGTTCTGTCTCCGTCTTCAGGTGAGAGGTACCTACTCTGTTGGGTCCCTTAGATAGAGCTAGTCTCTGTCCAAAGTAGGTACCTCTCACACACTTCCAAACGACATCTCCGTGTTTTATTTCTCATTAATGCTTTCAGTGGCGAGATCAGTTGCCATTCCATCGTGGAAGCTGTTTGTGTCCGTGTGCCCACAAGGCAAATAATAGAATTTTCTGCTTTCAGCGTGAGCAATGCTTTGAGACAGTCCGTCGGTCATTGTGTCACCACTGTAAATGATTTATGCAGATTCTTTTTTAAATTTTTGAAAAAAACATGGTCTCCTTAAGGGCACATTTTCGATACTAGATTATATGTGTTTACGCCTTTTTATTGCTTTCTGTATTTATATATATATATTATTCTTGTGTTGATTCTGTAATTGGCTCATGTAGCTTTTGAGTCAGCAGGTTGAAATAATGAATTGAATTAAATTATTATTATTTTGCTTGTGCAACGAAGGGATATTACCAACCTTTTTCAACTTCGCTTTTCAGTACGTTAGTACGAAAACCCAAGGTAACTAACAGTCGGGCTAATTTAAACTGAATATAACGCATCAGCTTTTGGTCTGTGCCGATAACGTAAATACCGTTGAAGCAGTGTGTCAAGATGTGGACTGGATTCAACTGGCTCAGGGTTTGGTCCAGAGTACATTGTACCTGTAATAAATATTGATACTTTCTTAAATGTCCGGGAATTTTTTGGCTAGGCGAGCAACTGTCAACTTCTTCAGAATGACATTTCTTCGTGGAATTACGAGGGTCGCTCATTAAATAATGCCCCACATTTTTTTTCTCAGCCAATAATGAAGATAGAAAAGTGTACTTTTACATGCTTGAGATTTGATGTTTCTCGCGTTCGTGTACGGAGTTTCAAATGATTCCAACCAATGGCGGAGCTGTAGTGAACTGTTAAAATGGCGTCTGTGAACGACTCTCGTTACAAGCAACGAGCTGTAATTGAATTCTTTTTTGCTGAAAAAGAAACTGTGGTGAACATTCATAAACGTTTGTGTGCTGTGTATGGAAGCTGTGCAGTCGATAGGAGCACCGTTGGTCGCTGGGCTAAGAGAGTTAAAGCTTCAGGAAGTGAAGAAACCGAGCTCCAGCAGACCACAGGATTCAAAGGAAAACGATTTCTTCTGAATTGTTGGAGCGTTTTGATGCTGAGGGAGAGGTCTTTCTGTCCCGGATCATTACAGGTGACGAAACCTGGATACACCACTTTGAGCCGGAGACAAAAAGGCAGTCGATGGAGTGGCATCATCCTCAATCACCGAGAAAGAAGAAATTCAAGACAACTCCCTCCGCCGGAAAAGTCATGATGACTGTCTTTTGGGACAGTGATGGGGTCATTCTTGTGGATGTGATGCCAAGAGGTGCGACCATCAATTCAGACGCGTACATCAGGACCCTGAAAACCCTCAAGAAGCGTTTTCGACGAGTTCGGCCTCACAAGCATCCAGCAGAAATTTTGCTCCTGCACGACAATGCACGCCCTCACACAAGTCCGAGAACCCGGGAAGAAATCACCAAATTTGGTTGAACGGTGCTGCCCCATCCACCCTCCGACTTTCATCTCTTTGGGCCACTCAAAGATGCTATCCGCGGCACAAGGTTTGAAGATGACGAGAGCGTTATTCAAGCAGTGAGGACATGGCTACGTGCACAGGACAAGAGCTGGTACCGGCAAGGCATGCATGCACTTGTTCCACGCTGGCGTAAAACCGTACAAGTTGATGGGGACTATGTGGAAAAATAGTATGTGTAAAGGAAACATTGATTTATATTGTCACTAAATTTCAGCCATCTTGAATAAATATATTCTGAGGAAAAAAATGTGGGGCATTACTTAATGAGCGACCCTCGTAGTTAGGTAGTTCTTTAGGTATCTTCCAGTTAGGTCATGCCGTTATGATTTCCTCAGTTTGAGGACAAGCGGCTAAGAGGAGCAACTGAAGCTGAAATTTCTCGTCACAACAGATCTACGCGTGTCTTCTGGCTTGTATCTGACACGATAGCCCTGGTGACCACTGACAAGAGGCAACAGTCATACCGGTTGTATGGGCTACGCAACCGGGTGTATGAGAATGAAGTTCATCTGTCGGCAGACCACTCTGTTTTCAGGGTAACGTTATAGACCATTTCCAGCATTTTCCTGAAACTTCTTTCAGCAATAACAGTAGAACCACGGTACTGTACAGTTTAGACCTTTTCCGTGTTACGAACGAGATCTGTTCCCGAAAACGATCTTTTACTCCCGTACTGTATTCTATGTGATATTATTTCTTGACGATTTTGAACAAATTTTTTCCCACAAATTAAACGTAGAAGTGTGGAAAAATAAATGTAAAATCAGGACATTTTAAGCGAGTTTTCTTTGGTTGGGGGCCGGATGGGTATTTTCCAGCCGGGAGCCGAGAAGTAACATTTACGTTAAAATTTATCACTGAACGCACTGTAGCTATGAATTACCTGCACTGATTTAACACACTGATACTAAATGTATTTTCCACAAGACGTCTGTAAATACAGTTTCTCATTTATAAATGACGTTTCGAAAGTTGGCTTCTTTCGTCTCCTGGATGCAACTCAGCTGTGTTGCACTTGTGCATTGACCAAAATGTGTCACGCGATATTTCGGATGTTGGCTCTAATCCCACATGCACGTGATTGCTTATTATTATACTAATGTTTCTGTTTTAATATTTTGATATTAGTGGCTGCGACGTGAATCGAACCCGGAAAGTTTTGAATACTTAACATATGTGTCAATCACCAGAACACCTAGGAAACAATAGCTTTACTTTTCCTGGCACTTCTAAGAATATGATTTCTTAGAAACTGCAAGCCAACCGTTGTATCGCAATGCCTAGCGCAGTGGTTGTAATCAGAGTGGAAATATGCAGTGCCTACGCTTATCTCTTGGATGCGCTCTCTGCAGTTTTTCATACTTAGTAGCGCTGGATGCAAGCCAAATCACACAATAGATACTACTATGCATAGTGTAAGGAGTTGTTTTCTCTTGCAGTTCGTTAAATATTCTCTACGTTATCGTAAAAATGTCTGTAGGTGGCAGATATGCAGAATTTTCAATTTTAAACGCAACCTGACAACAGTTAACGTACCGCGGTTCAAAACTCAAGTCAGACGCATGTCCATCTCCGTGAAACTGTCTTTTTAAACCTAACCTCCGTGATACTTGAGTCAAAGGTCACCTTGTTTTCTAGGCCGCTGCTCACGCCGGTTGCGCAAAAGCTGTGCAAGTGCTAACATGCTGTATTTATGTATGAGGTGAAGCTTTCGCGGCGACTGAAGTTGGTGAAAGATTCTCTTGGCTACAATTCGCTCCAGGTGGCTGAGCGGTGAACAAACCATAGTTTCTGCCAACGTTTCGAGAACAATCTCTGTTCTCATCCTCAAGGCTGCTGGGTAACCAGTCCTTTTTTTGTTCTCGAAACGTTGGCAGAAGATATGATTTGTTCACCGTTTAGCCACCTGACGCGGCTTGTAGGCCGAGAATCTTTCATCAGCAAGGTGTATTTATGAGCAGCATATGTGTGAATTTATTCTCCAACATTGCGTACGTGAGCATTTAACAACGCATATCTCGATACGGAAGTACTGGATAGGAAAGCATTACACGGTGAGGTAACAGAATTTCGGGACGCAGGAAATATTTTGTGACAATTGCTCATCGAGCCACAAACAGCTGAAATTACCGTTTTCAAGCAGTGCATCAGCTGTCCAGCCAGTTTGTGTGTAGTAGTAGGGTTTCATTTTATCTGCGTTTCTCAATAAAGACCTACAGTTGACATCTGAAACATTTTTCGATGCAGCGAATATTTAAATAAATTCAAGGTACAGTACAAGTTAGAACTGTGTGCATTGTGATTAACTCATTTGTAGCGTGATTAACATCGCAAAAAATATTTGTATCTTAAATAAACCTCAAGGCCAATGAAATACGCTAAACAGCAGACAAGACTTGTGTGCGCATTGAGAGCACATCAAGTTATTAAGGTATTTAAAATAGCAAATAATACGTTTGAAAAATATGTGTACTTCACTGCCATTCGATGTCCACTCTTGTATCAAGAAACCCAGTGCTGTTTAAAGTGGCAGCTGCTGTTAATCTTGTAATACATCAAATATTGAGGCCAACATTTCTGTAAATCAATATTTGTGTTATGTTTATTTCTTCATATACACTGTGTTGATCAAAAAATCATAAGCCGACGCAATGTTTGGAAACCATGTGAGAGGAGTACGACCTAGTTTCAGTGACACGTGTTTTAGAATTGATAGAATTTATTCTAAGGATCGATACTTTCCGTGAACTAATAGAAGTAAACCAGTAAACGATGTGAAATTCAAAATGGCTGTAGACTATTACATCACACCCGTTAACATTCTGGTCTTTGAGCGTAACTGGAATGCCTTTACATACATCAGCAACACTTTCTCTCTCATCCAACAGAATTCCGGAGATCGCTGTGAAAGTGGGCGGGCATTCACATCTCTTGTCAGCAGACGCTGGTGACTCTAGCGTCTGCTGAAGGTTCCTCACTAACGATTTTATGCCACCTCTTCCCCAATCATCAAATCATCACTCAAAATCATACTTGGCTGCCACAGATATAGGGGAGACCAGGGCATGTGGAAGGGGCAGTAATAAAGGTAAACACATGGAGGAACCTTGTGTGGATTTATTGTATATTTGAAAATTATAATGAGTTATTAGTTTAGTTCTAAGAATTACAGTTTATTAAAATATTAATTCCCTTAGAGAAATGTAACTTGCCCCATTTTGCCCCTGTTCCCGGGGCAAGACGGGGTATGGTTGATACATGTTTTAAAAGTTGTAAGAAGACAGATTATCTAATAATTATGGCGTACGATATAAAAATGATTTAGTATACAATGTAAAATGTCGAAACTTTACACATTTGAAATCTACTTCGGCCTAACGCAGACGGCACACGTGCGCACCTCTTCATCATCGTGTCTACCAACACCTGCACATGAGTTATGGGCCCATCTCAAGCAAGACGAATACCGGATCCACCCTTCAATAGACTGCGAACAGACATCGCCACATTACAGGCTCTCGTCATTTTATCCTCTGCTCTGCGTACCCCATTCTGCCCTACCACATTAAACAGTTTGTGGCCAGTACACACTTTTCCTAACGTGTTTCTTGCTATTTTACGTGTTTAATTGCCTTTGATGTCGATGCTGTAATAATTAAATTAACCATACTAACTTCATGAACTACATTCCCTCTTTAGGAGCTGATAGTCGCTCTGTTGGTCAAAAAATTCCACTCTTTTTATGAAACCCTCCCTCATTTTATTCCCCTCGTTCCATTCTGTCTTACCTTCTCTTCATTCTTATTCTTATCCTTCTGCTTCCCGTTGTTTTATTATTTTTCCTCAAGTGACAATTGCCATTCTCTCTTCGGCATGACCAGGAACTTCGGTTTCGTTACTTATACTCCGAGTTGTAGCTGAAAACTTTGAAATTCATAGTGATATACCAGTGTTTTATCAATCAGTGCGTAGGGACACATTACTGAACCCGAGACTGAGATTCATGCGAACTGGTAATGCTATACAGTTCGCTAATGGGTTCCGAAGGAGCAGTAATGAGAGATATGGTTCTCAAGGTTGTGAAGATGTCGATGTTAGCCTTCACAATTGTAAGGCCCCCAGGTCTTGTACGTGGATTTAGCCCTAACGATGGAGTCATTATGTTCCTGCGAAACGTTGGCATCAACATGTTAGTCCACACGGCGTTACAACAGAGAAAGCAAATTATAATAAGTGCGTCTTGGGCTACCAGCCGTGTTAGGTGGTTGAAAGGTTTTTGACGTAAATACGTCTATATTTTAGGGTCAGTGTCATTCGGCAAAAAGTGGAACGAAAATGTGGAACGAAAAAGTGTAACAATGGTTTATCAACAAATAAACAACAATGGTTACCTAGGAAACTTAATCTGTTTATCAACAAATCGACAATAATGTTTACCTAAGGAACATCTATTTACTCGGCATTTTTGTTACCTAGGAAACGTCATCTGTTTACTCGGTATTGTTGTTACCTATAAAACATTTCATTACATTACATTACTTTACATTACATTACCTTACATTACACTACCTTACCTTACCTTTACATTACCTTACCTTACATTACATTACCTTACCTTACATTACATTACCTTACCTTACATTACATTACCTTACCTTACATTACATTACCTTACCTTACATTACATTACCTTACCTTACATTACATTACCTTACCTTACATTACATTACCTTACCTTACATTACATTACCTTACCTTACATTACATTACCTTACCTTACATTACATTACCTTACCTTACATTACATTACCTTACCTTACATTACATTACCTTACATTACATTACCTTACCTTACCTTACATTACAATACAATACATTACCTTACCTTACCTTACCTTACCTTACGTTACATTACATTTCATTACATTCAGCTACCACAGACCCATCTTAAGCGTAACTAATTCAAATTAAATAAACAATGTCTTAATCAAACTTATCTCCAATTTAAAGCATGTATGAAGGAAATATTTAGAATAAAGCCAATATATAAACTTCCTTTCCATATAGACGTATTTACGTCAAATTCTCCGGAACCGTGGTTCCACTGACACTTTTTTTTCGCCTTGTGCAGAAGACGAACATAAACAAGGAACAGTAATGCAGCCCTGTATGGTGAAAATGTGTCAGAAATATAATTCATTCGTGAAATTGATCCGATTAGTGTAGTGGTGACGGTATAATTTTGTATTCGGGAGGTAACTGGTACGAATGTACCAGGTTTCCAGCAATCCTAAATTTGGTGTTCCGCACTTGTGACGTCTCCATGCAAATTCTAGTGCAGTACCTTCGAATTTCGACTAGACCAAATTGCATGCTTTATGGCCACGGAAGCACCCCCCCCCCAATTTCCCGCTGTTCATGTTGCAATGTTGCACGCTTTTGCATTCACCTTGAAGCATTTATTTTTGCGACAGCTACGTTCCATATTCTTGCTTCCTTTGTCAGTGTGCATAAAGATAACTCATAAGAAGGTCAAAGACTACTGACCGCTTGTTTCATTTCTCAATACCAAACGTTTTCTGTTACATTTCATGTTTCGAACTGCATCAGAATTTATGGGGTAAATATAATGTTTATTTGAATCGGCTTACTGCACTCCTATCATTCGTGAAGTTTGAACTTAATTCATATTTTATTTAAAGCCAAATAGGTTCACTATGAGATGTGAGGTTAAAATTGAGGGAGTGTGTTACTCCGAATCGTTGGTATCTATAATACCTGTAGCAACACAGGGCGTTACTGCTCTCAACAAAAACACTGACATAATTCAACCTTCTTTCCGGTAGTTGCATTTACTCCACAGAGTGGGTTTATTAGCATGATTGGAGTTTTAATTAGAGGCAGCTACTGCAGACAGGCGTATGTTTACTTAATAAAATCTTTGTTTTGTAAATGGCCACTTCGCTCTTGAATACTTCATTGTCTTCTGTGTTCATTGACTGCTGAGACAAGTATGTTGTTGCAAGTCTACATAACAACAAAGATATGACACTGCAAATATAACCAACTTAAAATAATTTTTCTTACACTTCGTTACATACACACTGCATCGGACAACTTTCAGACAGTAGCCTTCTTTCAGTGTTTAATTACTTCTGTATTACAAGTAATGTGCTTTTGTACAGTGTGCAGTATTCGAAAAACTGATGGTTACATTTTAGTTCGTGTGTGGTAGAATTTATTTATATTGGATTCATACAGACCAAATAACTTTTGTCTTCACCCTCCAGCTCTCCTCTGGCATCTCTCCTTATAAAGCCAGAATTTCTCTGTAATTTTTACGTCTAGTCAATGAAACTTCAACAGCGTCTGAAATTAATTTCAGAAAGCATTATTAACAGCGCCAGCCAAGCCGGAAATAAGCTTCAGGCTTCGGGAGGAACCGAGCAAGTTAGATCATCGATAATGTTTCTGGATTGTACTCGAAATGTCTGTTCACTTCTCGGAGCCGTCCTCATTGCTTGCTACCGTGTTCTGCAGGAGATGTAACCCAGAAAAGATAGATCTTTAAAGCCGAGTGGTAGGTATACGTATCATTCTCCTTGTAAATAGTGATTATTTTCTTGATTAACCAGATAATCTTAGCAATGGAGAAGTATTGTGTTTTATATGCGGTACGGACTGAATTCTTGAATGTAATTTAGACGAGTATCTGTTTCAAAGGATGAGCCGGGATAGCTCAGTCAGTATAGTGACTAGTACGGCCTGGAGAACTGGGGTTCGATCCCCGACGGGGGCAGAGGATTTTTCCTCTAGCCTCTGCGTCTAGCCCGGCTCTGGGGCCCACCCAGCCTCCTCTCCAATGGGTACCGGGGTCCTTTCCCGGGGCGGCCGGGGCCGAGGTCAAGAAAGAGTTGGAGCTGTACCTCCATTCCCCCCAAATGCCTACACGGCGTGTAGCGGGACAGCTTTACTTTACTTTTTATCTGCTTCAAAGGGTTAAAGAATGTTTCGCTGATATCATGGTGGTTCCAATTGCCTTCTACAGTTCGAAATATGTCTAAGTTTTCTTGGCCGTGTAACATATAAATAACCACAAATTGAATGTAGTTAAAATGCAGCTTTTTTTCACTGGTACTTTATTCTCATTTCGCAGCTATCAAGGAATAAAATAGAGCGCTGAACTGTAAATTCTTTTGGAAACAGTACTTCATCAAGTCTGAAATGTTTACGGCCACTAAAAGTAATGAAGTCTTCTCGAGAGACCAGCCGCATAAATGTTCGCCACTTTAATTTTGAATATGAAGTTGTGATTAATAAAGGTGCTTAGCGGATACCATTTAAAACGCATACCCAACAACTGTAACGTACTTCGTACAAAAAATAATTTATAAGCAGTGTTGCTCCCGCGTGTTAAAGTTCATCGAACGCGATCATAAAATATTCGACTATAAATAACAGTTGCACTTTATGCAGCGCTATGTAAATAAATAACTTACTGTAGATTCATCCACAGAAAGAGAAGCTAACCCATGACAGTATGACAACATTGCGTGTGTCATGGCTATGAGCTGATTGATTGTGGCGATGAAAAAAAAATTGAACGGAACTTGGACTCTACAGTCCCATTTTTCGTTAGGCGTACGATCATGATTAATAATTGTCTTACGAAATCATTGGAAAATCATCTTGTTGTGTACAGAGTGATCGGAAAATCACGCAGTCCACATTACAGTATTTTTTGATAGTTGCTATTCGATACAGTTTGAGTATATTAATACACTATGTCGGTGTGACTATACAAGAGCCTACGCAGGTCACGTCATGTTGGAACCTGCTCGCGCCGTCCGTCAGTTATCAATCAGCAATCGAAGGTCTTTGTTTTTTTTACAAGTGCAACGAGTGGTCATTATCGAACACTACCTGTCATCTCGTTATTCCTTAACTTGTCAAACAAATCGACAATATATCGTCTGGTGAACCATTTCCGTGACACGGAAAGCGGGCGGGACAGACATCGTTCCGGTCGACCTTCGGTGTTAAATGACGATAGTTTGGCGATATCTGTCAATCTGTGTTGTGCCCTCTACGAAAGTCGCTGAGAAAACTTTCTCTTCAGAGTGGATTATTATACAGAAGTGTACAAATAGAAAATGTGTCAAGAATGGGTTGCGTGGCTTCTCGATCAGCCTGTATAGGTCAATGTTTCCCAGCCAGGGTTCCGCGAGAAATCGTGGAATAAATAAATAAAAAATTGTAAATACCGCGAAATTTCCAAATATCGCTGGAAATTTTGTACTGCAATTGGCAGTTCTGGAGTAATCTCCGTGCGCTACCAATTGCCTCTTTGTGTTGGCCAGTTCGTATTTAAGATTATATTTATCTTATATTATATCTGTGTTAGTTTCGTGTTCTTGCAGAGCTGCCTCAACTTTATTTTTATGTTAGTAAACTGTATTTTAATTTTATAGTTATATATAATGCTTCAATTTTTTTCTTACAATGTAAGCAGTTATTTACAAAACATTTTGACAATAATTTAGCAATAATTGAATTGCGCTCATAGCCATCAACTTTTTATGGCTTATAAACGTTTTCATAGATTGGGGTTTTTCAGGATATGAAAAACTATTTTGGGGGTTTCTTCACGGAAAAAAGATTGAAAAACGCTGATATAGGCTATAGAATTCTGTAATTAAATTGAAAATGTGAGCGAACGGGAAACCTATGGGGGTGTACTACCACTCAGGCTAACGTTGCCGATTGTCTCACGTCTCCAAAAATATTTTTTTTCCCATCGGATTTAAGAATCATTCCTGCGCTCCTGCTTCAAATTAGGTATGTCCTTGTATCAACCTAGGGCCGACGACTGGCCAACTGTACCTGAAATTTGGCGTGATTTGTCTTAGTGTTAATGTAGATGACTGAATATGCCCTGACAATATGACACAAACACTTGCAGTTGATAATTCAGAATTCTCCTGCCATTGAACTTAATAAAGGCTTACTCTATATACTTTAAATATTGTTGGTGAATTACCCAGTAATAAACCACTCAGAATGACATTAGATTGCCTCTGCCGAATCTCCGTTTATGCTCAGATCTGTGTGGGTTCAGAAACCACTGTTTTAGTCCTATGGAACAAGTTCTAAGGGTACTTGGTTTGAATGCTGTAATTAATTCTGCAGGTATTCGTGAATTCCCTTCTGTTGGCAGATTTGATTCACCTCTTCCATTGATTGTGTCACAAAGATATATGTTACCAAATGTAGGTCTGTTAGAATCTCATGGTTTCATTGTTTGAATATTAATCATGACCAATAAATTTTACCATAACTCTCAAAGGTTGACAGCACTTCCGTTTTATTTCACGTCACATGAGGTAATTCAGTAACACCAAGATTTATATAATTATCATACACCAACTCAGTAACTTCGTACTGCTTGGTCTTGTCGAAAAATTAACACCCGCTCAACTGGTGAAGTGATTCCCTACGTCTGTGGAACATAAGGCTTCGTCATGGTGTTGACTTAAGTCCATCGTTTGCCTCTATCCTGGGCGGCTTCAGCCCAGTCCTTATGATCCACCATATTTTTTTGGTAACGGTTTTAATATCATCTTCCCATGTACACCTTGCCTTAACTTGTGTATGCATTTTATGGCACCAAAAATTTCGTTACTGTGCTAATGAAACCCCGCTTTTGTCTTTCATCCTAAGGTAATTCAGTTCAACCCATATTTTATATCTTACTCCTAGAGTAACAATAATCGCCTACTATTTCTACCAAGTGGCCTTCCGCCCTGAACTTTGTATGCATTTAACATTTCTTCGCGCTTGTTGCTTATTCTGCTCATGTTACTTAATCACTGTAACAATGTTAAGTGGCGAATGCAAAATCGGACGTTACTCATTACGCAATGTTCTACACCCACTTTTCTATTTTCAGATCAAAATATTCTCCCCTACACTCTGTTGTCAAAACCCTAAATCTGATTTCTTCCATGAAAGGGACAGATTCACTCCCACACAAAACACCAGATAAAATGACAGTTTAACAGTATTACATCAACGGAACGATGTACGAAAATCCATCCTCTTTCTTTCTTAGGTATAAATATTGTCCTCTGCATTTACTGGTGTACAGTAATTATTCCAGATCGCAATTAAAAAAATAAAAGCAACTTTGCCTTCCCACATCAGCGTAGTTCCTGTGAATGTTCGGTTGTAAAAAGACTGAGTCAGAACGCTCGAAGGTGAAAGCACAGTAGGCAACAGATTACTTGCTAGCTTAGCTCCCTCATTCTGTGGATAGTTGCACTCGGCACGGCCGGGTAGAAAAAGCGTGGAAGTGCGCGAGCGATGTGTATTACCATGCTCTTCACCCCCGCTTCAAGAACTCGTAATCTGGTCCTTGCTGTGCTTGTGTGAAGGGGCAAGGGAGAACTGGAATAAGAACAGACAGACAGTATATGGCCATTTGTTTGCGGAAGGTTACCGGGGAGAGCTCAGCCTGCAGGTGTTGTGAATTGTGGAATAGCTGTTCCAGAACCTGAATGCACTAATCTGGGCCATGCCATTGAAGACGGAGTAAAAGAAGATAAAAGAAATGAAACATAAGAAGACGGGGAAAAGAAATGAGACAAGTATAGAACGAAACATGAGGAGAAAGGTACAAGAAGACTAAGAAGATTTAGAGGAGAAGAAAAGGAAAAGAGAAGATGAGAAGGAGAGAAAAATGAGAGAAGAATAGAAGGAAACAAAAGTAGGCGATCGCCATGATGATGGAGACAGGAAGCCTCACTTCTACCAGACTACACAGAGCATCTGCTCAGCAAACAGACAAATCTCACAAAATTATGTTTGTTTTAATATTGTTTGTATTGTTCCTTCACGCCTCAAACCTGAAACCTGAAAGAGTAGATAATAAAGAATACAAACGTAAATGGTATTTTAAAATCTTAAACACTGTGCGATCAACTTGAGTCCGTGCACCTGCTGCTGAAGTTTGTATTGTGCACTGCACTATAATTTCAAGAACGGAGAATTAAATAGACTAAATAGAGCTTACCAATATTTATTACACCCGCCCACATAATGAGAAGCTTATTATACAGAAGCAGTACAGGAGTTTCTCATTTACTACAATACGCGACTTGAACTTCATTTAATCCAGTCGATCTTGGTGGATAGTTTACAGCAGTAGGCCTAAGCTAGCTGATCGAAGTACTGATTTAGGGATCATTATTTGTGCATTGTTATTGATTGTACGGAGTGCGGTGTTCCATGGTCGCGTAAGTTCTCTATCAGGCAACAGAGACCGTTAAACCGTACCGCCTGAATCACCATAATGTTCAGTTTATCTCACACCACTGCCGGCCACAGTTTCATAATTCTTGAAATTTGAATGTACGTTGATTTTTCTATGTAGTGAGGCTAGCAGAAAGCATATAAATGAATAATTATACACGTCAGTGATCCATTTCTGCCGATTATAGATGCTGTTCGGTCTAAGGTGGTTCACATATTATTGGGCCACTCGAAAACTGGAGTCTGGGATTCCAGTTTCGCTCAAACCA